TGATCTGCTTGTGACTTCAAATGCTTCAAGAGGACCACCTCTACAGAAACACTTCATTTCTTATTTTCAGTGTAAGGTTTTTATAGTTACAACCTGTTACAGATGAAACCAAGATATATCCAGGTACCAAGATACAAGTCATGTTCCAAAAAACTTGTGGTTCCAGTAGCTATGAAGTTGCTGTTTAAATCATCACACCGGCCCCCCCCCCACCCCCGCCCCCCAAATACCTTTGAGATGATACCAACCCTTTGGGAATTACAGAACTTTGACATCTTTTTTTTTTTTTTATTTCACAAACTACCTGCTTATTTAGAAAACGACCCCTTTAAAACCCAGCTCCCTCACACCCTGAAAAGCCATCTTAAACAAAGACACAGTCACATCAGAATAGGATCTAAGTGTCAGCAGAAAGGAAAAACAAACATGCTGAACTAAATTAAAATAACTTTCCCATTTCAGGTCTGACCCTCTGTGGCTCTGTGAGCAGCTCCGCTCTAGCATACAGAGACTGATGCCTTAAAATAAAGGAAATAAACCGACAGCCATAGAAACCCTGTCTAATTAAAACTCCCAACTTCAAACTCTTAATTTCCCAGCAACACATTGGAAGGCAGCAGGAAGAGAGAGGAGGTGAAACGTGTTGCTCCAATGTTGTCCCTAAATAGAATGTTCTTTACAACTGGCAGGAAGCACCTGGGAGATTATTTGCTTTGGAAATTTGGAAATAAATTGTTTTTGCAATAAGAAGGGAAAAATAAATTGGTTTCTAAGGTCAGATGCTTTTAACTTTTTCACAGACATACATTTTTATAATATGACTTCTGAAGGTAATGAATTCAAGTTAATAATGTATTTAAATTTAAGAAAAGAGGCAGAAACTGTCAAGATAGGAAATCGAGATCGGGAATTTTAGCTAAACCCTGAATCTCCCTCTCTCATTTTGACTAAAATTGACCTTCGATTTTACAGTACTTTCATTTTTACAGCACTTTACATATTCTGTTAAAAAAAAAACCTTAAAAGTGAAACAAAGATATTTCTTAACTACTATAATTTCTACTGTCCAGCTCTTGTAACTTTTTAAGTCCATTAAGACTTTAGAACATATTCTTTACCAAATCTATCCTTTAATTAAGAGTTAACTAATGGTGTTGCTATGATTTTCCCATTTTTTATTTTCCATAAGAGGAAATATTCTGGTTCCTTTTATTATTCTCGTATCTTCAGATGTAATTCTATTTTTATTTTGTAGTTAGCATGAAATTAAGTCATCATAGAGAATTCTGTTGCTCTGAAAGCTGATAATACGAATACATATTTGCTCACTTTGCTAGAAGGAATGTTACATAAGGGAGGTAGTGGAGGAATATGAGTTCTAGAATACTGAGGGTTAGGGGAAAACTTAGTCCTTGTAGGTCATTAATCTTCGTGTTTGAAATAAAAATTAGAAAAGAATCTCACGATTATACAACCAGCACTTTAAGCAAATTTTACTGCATTCTGCTACTATGTCAAATTGAATGAACCAGCCCCAAACACAGGGCACCAATTCTTCTTGTCAGCTATACTTTAAATGGAGAGATTTATTGAAAGTTCTTTTATTACCTGGACTTCATTACTTTTGCAAAATATTTGATGGGTATTAAGCTTAGATTTACTAGTGGGCTTAAAATCTTGTCAAAATGAAACAAGCACTTTTTGTCACAAGCATTTACTGACTTAAAGGCATTTGCAGGGGGGCTGGCTAATGCGTTTGGAATCGTCCTCCGAAGAAAATGTGCTCAACCTTTTCTTCCTATAATAGACTCATATTTTACCGATTCCCAGTCACTTCAGGCAAACCTCACATATTTTTATTAATTTTTGCGATTTAGTCCTAAAAATGAGTTGCACTTCTGATCCTTCTTTTTTTAACCACCTGATTTATGTATTTCTGCCGACCCAGCGCAGACCCCGTCAGCATATTTTCAGCCGAAAGACCAACTCTTCCTTCCATTCTTTGTTGTTCTGATTTCAGAATTTCAAGTGGGTTTGTTGTCAACTTGAATGTACCTTTTGAGAAGAAATTGAGTGTCCGATTTCCTGCATGTGTGTGTGCTTCTGGGGCTGGAATGCTCTTCCTCGGCCAACTGAAAGCAGAACCTGATCCTTCTCCTCTCAGAAACTCGGTCTCGTTTCAGTGGTTTTAAATGCAGTTAGTTCATGACCAAAAGGAAAGAAGTGTCCTCATTTTTCTTTTTAATTTTGAGCAGCCACAATCGAGAGTCTTGCTGTAATCCTTGGGAACTTGAAGCGTATCGCTTTATTTTGGCTTTCTGTCCAGTCAATCGAATAGTCGGTATTCTTTTGGCATTGAATGTGTGATTGTATCTTATTGTAGTCTGTGGGGTTTCACAAACAAAATAAGCCATTGGATTTTATATCCTTTTCTTTTCTTTTTCTGAGTGGGTCTCCCAGCTACTTTCCAGTAACAGATAGAGGGCATAGGCTGTGAGGGTCGCTTGCTTCTCTCGGACAGCTTCACGCTCTACCTCCACTTGTCCACAGCTGACCAGATCCCGACCTTTCCACTTCACCCAACACAAAAACTCTTTATGTGGTTGCACAGTATCTCATATAGGAGGGTCCTTGGGTCCCAAGGATTACAGATAGTAAACATACTTGGATTTCTTTTGCGGGTAATAGGCTGCATTTCTTGACTCTTACTTGTGCTCTGACTCTGCTGGGTGTCAAGTTTTATGCCAAGCACATTGTGCGCACTCTTTGATTTTAACAGCGTAGGTGGCGCGTCATCACACTGTCCCTGTTTTGCAGATGAGGAAACTGAGGCTCCGAGAGTTTGAAGTAAAAGGCCATTGGAATTTGGAGAAAGTTTCTCCAGTTTTAATGCATGGGATCTGCAGCTCTGCCCTGTAGACGGAGTTACTCACTGTGAAGTCAGTGTCATGTCAGAGTCCCGAGGAAGGGCTCCTGGGGCATCTAGACCCATGTGTTTGTTGACTTGGTTGTTCAAAGAAAACTGCAGGTTCTGGGGCCCCCCTGCCCTGCCCACATACCACCTACCAAAAATCGTTTTTCTTCTTCAGGGTCTCACTTGTCTCATCTGTCAAATAGAAATAATATTATGTTAGGTGGACTGCATATTTCTCTTTTTATAAAAAAAAAATCACTCTGGACTCATAGGATACGGTGAAGATGGTACAGAGAGGGACAGAGAGGACCTGTGTACCCTTTACCCAGTTCCCCCAGTGCTTACATCTTATGTAACGGTAGGACATGCAGACCACAAAATTGTCGTCTGTATAATTCTGTGCCATCTTATTACCGATGGGTTAGTGTGACTGCCACCGGGTATAGAACTTTTCAGTCACCACCAAGAGCTCCCACTTAGAGTCAATGCCCCCACACCCCCTTCTAAATCCTGACCACTGCTACTTTGTTCTCTATGTCTGTAATTTTGTCATTGCAAATCTCTTTGACACACTTAATTGTGTTTTCATTATGAAATATCTCAATCAGAAAAGCACAATACTTATACAACCACTACTCAGCTTTGACAACACGCAGATTTAATAAATGTTGTTGTATTTCTTTCATAGCTTAAAAAATATCTAATTTTAAAGCTTTGTCCCACTCTTTAATTCTATTGGCCTCTTACCCTTCCCAGAAATAAACTCTGCCCCAGTTACTCTCCATGGTTTTCTCTTTTTGTATGTAACTAGGTGCCTATAACATCATGTAGTATAGTTTTATGTGTTTTAAGAATTTGCATAAACAAATCAATAGATTTGTTGAGTTATTGAGTGCCTACTCTGTGCCTGGCGTTGCTCTAGACCCTGGGAATATGATGGTGAAGAAGGCAAAACCCTTGTCCTAAATATATAAACGTATGAACAAATAGGATGATGCTAGGCAGCTGTAAATTTGTAAAGGATGACATGGGTATTGTGGTTCAGATTGGCGGGGGCAGGGGAATGAAGGGGTTGGTAGGACACTGAGGAAAGGCCTTGCTGAAGATACCTCATTTAAAATCAAAACCTAAACAGGGGCGCCTGGGTGTCTCAGTTGGTTAAGCCTCCTGCTCTTGACTTCAGCTCAGGTCATGACCTCATGGTTCGTGGATTCGAGCCCCACGTCAGGCTCTCCTGAGACAGTGTGGAGCCCGCTTGGGATTCTCTCTCTCTCTCTATCTTTTTCTTTCTTTCCTTTCTTTCTTTCTCTCTCTCTCTCTTTCTTTCTTTCTTTCTTTCTTTCTTTCTTTCTTTCTTTCTTTCTTCTTTCTTTCTTATCTTTCTCTCTTTCTCTCTCCCTCTGTCTGTGCCCCTCCCCTGCTTGTGCATTCTGTCTCTCTAAACAAAAACAGAAAACTTAAAATCAAAACCTAAACAATAAGAAACAACAAGTCAAACAGAAGGAACAGCAAGCAAGTGCCGATTCTCTCACACAGGAATGAATTCGGTGTGTACATGGAAGAGCAAAACTTTGCACAGAGGCTGGGGTGTTGTGAACAGCAGGGAGCATGGAGGAAAGGGGGGGGTGAGGGGCGAGGAGTAAGAAGTGGGAAGAAGGCGGAGGGGTTTAGGAAAGGCCGAGGAGAACTTGGCAAGGAATTTGGATTTTATTAAGGCTGCTGTGGGAAGCCCTTGGAAGCTGTAAGCAGAGAGGGTTGCCATGGGTGTCGTGTGGAAGGCGGCAGAAGAAAGGGCAAGAATGGGAAGCAATTAGCTGTTGCAGTTTTTCAGGGAAGAGATAAGTCAGAGGGATGATGATACCTAATAAGATGAAAAGGCTTGATATCACCTTATCCTGGCATTTGCATTTCAACATTGGGTTTCAAAATTTGTTTACGGTAATACTTTTAGGTAAGTTAATTCATTTTAATTGCTATGTATATTCCATTCTATGAGCGTACCAAATTTTCTGTTTATTCTCTTATTAATGGACTTTAAAGATATTTCTCTTTCTCCTCTACACAGTTCTGCCCAAAGCATCGTCATATATGGGTTCTTATGGATAGGATACCAGACTTCCTCTGGGATACACACCTCGAAGTAGGATTACTGGGCTCTATAGGTATGCCCATTGTCAACTCTGTACAAAATTGTTCTCCAAAGAGGTTGGAACAATTTATGGTAACTAGCTGTGTTTGAGAATTTCCATTTCCCCACATCCTCAACATTTGGTATTACCATTGCCACTCTGTTGGATGTGAAATGGAGAGTCATTGTTGTCGTAATTTGCATTTCCTGATTACTATCTATGATCTTTCTTGGCCCTTTAGTTTCTTTTCTGAGAATTCCTCATTCCTATCCTATGCCCACTTTCCCATTGGGCTGTTTGTTTCTTATTGATGTTTAGGAGTTCTTTATATATTCCAGATAAGAATCCCTTGTAGGATTTATTTTATTATTTTATTTTAATTTTGTTTTAACACTTATTCAGTTTCGAGAGACAGAAAGTGAGCAGGGGAGGGGCAGAGAGAGACACACACACAGAATCCTAAGCAGACTCCAGGCTCTGAGCTGTCAGCACAGAGCCTGACGCAGAGCTTGAACTCACAAACTGTGAGATCATGACCTGAGCCAAAGTCGGATGCTTAACCGACTGAGCCACCCAGGCGCCCCTACCTTATTGGATTTTATATATTGAAACAGATATTGAAAACACCTTTCTGGGGTTTATGATTTAAAATATTCTCTTCCAATTTTAGCTTATCTTTTTATGTTTTTAAATAATGGTTTAGATTTGAAATTTTACCACAGTCAGATTTACCAATCATGTTCTTTGTTTTATATTTTCCAACCCTGAGGCATAAAAATACTAAAGTTTAGCTTTCTACTTTAATTACTGAATTGACCTGGAAATTAAGTATGTGAATGACAGGAAGCATAGATTTCTAAAACAAATTTTTTTCTGAATGTCAAATGACCTGATCCAACACCGTTTATTGAATAGTTTTATTCTTTCCCTACTAACTTGTAATGTTATCTCTGTCATATATCAAGTTTTCCCCTTAACATGGGTCTATTTGTGGGCTGTCTATTCTGTTCGGTTGTTCTATTTGTCTATTTCTACACCAATGCCATTCTTTTGAAATTACTGTAGCTATATAATATGCCTTGTTGACGAGTGTGGTGAGCTGTGGTTTTGTTTTGTTTTTGTTTTTACTCTTCTAAGTTATTTTGGGTGTTTTTGTTTCTTTACTCTGATACTAACTTGTGGATCAACTTGTCAAATGCCACAGGGGCAAAACATATGGATTTTAATGCAATTGCAGTGAATTTACAGATTAATTTGGAGAGACTTGCCATCTTTATCTTCCCATCCCATACAGGAACATGGTATATCCTTTCATTTATTTAGATATTTTATATGCTTCAATCAAGCTTTACTCTATAATGACCTTGTATTTCCTTTGTTAGGTTTGCTTGGAAGTTCCCCAAGTTTTTGTTACTATTGTTAGGGAATCTTGCTTTTATTTCTTATTTATACCTTTTGTTAGTTTTCTGTTGGGATGTGGTGTTACTATTGAATTTTTTTCACTATTGATTTTTTAAATATTCGTTCATTTGTATCCAGCAACCTTTGTAATTCTAGTAGTCTGTCTGAAGAGTCTTTTAGATTTTTTTTGGTAGACAGTCATATTGTCTGTAAATAGCTGCTTTATTAGTTTTTCAGTTAGCCAACATTTTACGTAATTTCCTTAAGTCCCTTCCAAACCGTAGGATCTATGGTTCCATTCAGTGCGTTTGTACCTATGTGTGGCAGAAAATAGAGCATGGGTACTCATCCTTGATGCAGTATATGATATGATGATATACTGTACAACAATTTTTCTTTAGGGGCATCTGGGTGCCTCACTCGGTTGAGCGTCAGACTCTTGATTTTGGCTCAGGTCATGGTTTCATGGTTCGTGGGTTTGAGCTCTGTGTTTGGCTCTGTGCTGGCAGTATGGAGCCTGCTTGGGATTCTCTCCCTCCCTCTCTCCCTCTTCTTCTGTCCCTCCCCTGCTTGTGCTGTTCTGTCTTTCTCAAAATAAATAAATAAGCTTGAAAAAAATTTTTTTAAACCCCAAAAACCAAAACAAATTTTTAAATTCACTTTTGCCACCTATTCTCTTTTCCACTTAATTTATTAGGAAAAGTTCACTGAAGTTTTGAGAATAAAAATAAAACATAATTTAAAAAAATCTTTAAGAGATTAGACACCACTCATCACTTGCTGTTAACTGTGATACCACTAAGGACTCGGACAAATGCTACATATATTACAGATTGCAAGATGTGGATCAGGAAGAAATGAGAAAGGGGCACCTGGGTGGTTCAGTTGGCTAAGGTCTAACTCTTGATTTTGGCTCAGGTCATGATCTCACAATTTGTGGATTCGAGCCCTGTGTCGGGCTCCATGCTGACAGTGTGGAGCCTACTTGGGATTCTCTCTCCTTGTCTCTCTGCTCCTCCCCAGCTCACACGCACACACACACACACTCTCTCTCAAGGTAAATAAACAAACAAACAAACAAAATTAGGAAAACATGAGAAAAAGAAAATTTTGACAATTTTTGGTATTTGTAGTACACACACATGCATATCGCGTATGCTGCGAGCGCACATGTGTGTGTGGGCCTAAAGTCATGTGAGCTACACAATGTACTGGAATAAGAAGGTATTTTCTACTATTGGAAACATCCAATCCAGGAAATGGATCCAGTTTCCAATTACGTTTCAAAGGTTGCACAATAGGCTTCTAAGAGACTTTGGGAGGTATTATTTCTGGAGATGAGCCCCTAATCTTTGATACATCCTGTGGACCAGGAGAAGTTCAAGTTTGAATGGTCCGCAACTCTTAGGATCCTACCCAGGATAGTCCACAGGGCGGGTTGTAGCAAAACTCCCCTTCACCACTCAGCTCCTTCGAAAAGAAGGCGGCTTTTTTCTGCCTTGGAGCCCTGGATTTTGTGAGTCACGAAGTCACTGCCCTAGCATTATGTGGTGTGGTGGTGGCAGGATAAGGAGCACAGAAAGTCAGTGAACTCACAACTGGCAGCCAGGTTGTCACCTGGGTCTTCTGCCATGCTTGCAGTTTCCTGTGTGAAACAGGAAGGGCACCGGGTCCTCTCTCTTGGAGAGCCTTCTGAAGGGGCTGGCCTATAGAAATTTGCTGGGCCTGCTTTTCTGGGTTGTCCAAAGCTCCCTGGAGGGAAGTCCAGTCAGGATGTGGTCTGAACTGAGAGGCAGTTACCAGTCCGCTTACGCTACCACCGAATCTACTTGGTCAGAGACCAAGTCATAGCTGTTCCCCGAAGCTAAGAGAGTAAACACTGCCTCCTATTTTTAGTAGTTCCCTGCTTGCAAAAATAGCTTGAAATCCAGACCTTTGAGTCTCAACAGCCTTCAGCTTTACAGGCCGTCCCATGGTAACAACCACCGCAACAACAATACCAGCCGCCACTAACATTTATCTGGAGTCACCCTGCACAGGTATTGGGTTAAGTTCTCTACAGCATTATCTTGTTTCATCCTCACACAAGGCAGTCATTATTATCCTTATTTTTCAGGTGAGAAAACCAAGATTCAGAAAAGTTAGGTACTTGCCCTAAGTCCCACAGCCTTTGAGATGTAAGGCCTAGTCCTGAGCCCAAGTCAGCCCAGCCAGATGCCACACCTACGTTGTTGACTGCTTCTTATGCCTGCCTTCCCATATTCTATAACAGCATCTGCAGTGGGATGTTTATCCAGGTTCTTCAAAGAGCTTTAGATGATCATTGGAGTCGAGTTAAATAATCAAGAAATTGTATCTTTTCTATATGGGATTTCTCTTATTGTTTTACTATTTTTAAAAAGCTATCGGACTTACAGAGTTAGCTTATTCTCATCATGTTATCTTTTTACAGAGAAATCCAAGGTATTTTTCCAGTATACTGTTATTTGGGGTAATTGCTTGATCGTTTGAAGGGCACCCAGGAGCTGTGTGGAACGTAATCTCAAAATGGCCAGTGAAACCATCAGAGGATGAGCAAGTTCTAAGGGTGAAACCAGAAGTGTGGCTGCCTGTTCCTTGTTGACTGCTTGACCAGAGAAACCAAGTTCAGGATCTTGTATTTACTGAGATGACTGGCATGCATTATCAGAGCAGCTGCCCCTGGAAAATTTCTGAATTAAACTTATTGATTTTATGTAAGTGGCATATGGAAAGCAATGTGTTGGTTTGGTTACCAAATTAAAAAAAGTGCAGGGAACACCCACATGGAGACAGTATAGTTGTTTCTAATTTGATAGCTCTCAGAGGGAAAACATTGGTGATGGCCACTTGCTGGTGAGTCCTCACTGGGTGTATGCGTGTATAAAATCTCCACTAATTATGTGGCAAGGTCAGGTTGTGGGTGGTGGCCTCACAGAATGCCTGCTCAGGAGGTTGTAAGAGTCAACCCTCTTTTGCTTGCAAGTAACAGAAATCTACTTCAAACTGGCTTAAGCAAAAATAAATGAATAATAATAATACATATACATGACGTGTATACATTACGTATGTATACATATCACATGTATGTATGCATCTATCCGTACATACATGAGATCACATAAATAGAATAGACGTTTTGTTCTGGGATACAAGATTAATTACCTCATGGAATCCAAGGATTGAGTGTTGGGGGCTTCAGGAAAGACCAGAATGCTTTTGGTCCCGGGCAGCTGTCCCGTCAGGCACCTCCCTTTCAGACCCGGGGCTCTTTGTCCCTGCTTCTCCACCTTCTTTTTTCTCTTCTTTTTCTCTGTGGGTCAGCTCCATCTGCTTCTCTGTGCACGATTGCCTTACAACTCACAGGTTTATCTGTCTTCAGTTTCAGTAACCAAAAGACCTTGACTCCGTACTTCAAGTCCAAGTTTGGGGTCAGAGAATGTGACTGGTCCAGTCCACGTCAGGTCAGCAGCCCTAGTTGTCAGCTCTTGCCTGACGAGAGGCGAACAATTGGGCTCGATCTCATGACCCTGAGAGCATAACCTGAGTTGAAATCCAGGCGCTTCTATTCTTGGGTATTTTAGAAGGGTAGACTTACATTTGTAATGTGACTAGTCACCTATTAACATAATGATCAGCTGGGTAAACTCAGAATACAGCAAAACCTTGGATTGCAAGTAACTTGTTCTATGAGTGTTCCACAAGATGAGTGAACACTTCTAATAAATTTTAACTTGATAAACAAGTTACCTTGTTTATCAAATTACCTATTACCTCAAATTACCTATTGTGTCCTGCAATACCAGTAGTACATGATGCCGAATGTCACATGATCATAACTGAGTCAATGGTTCTTGAAATTTGCTTTGATATATATAAATGCTTTGGATTACAAGCATGTTTCCAGAACGAATTATACTTGCAAACCAAGGTACTACTGTGTTTGCTTCTTTTTTTTTTTTAAGTTGATTGCTCACACATGTAGGGTAAAATGTTTAGGAAATGACCAACCGTCTCCCTCACCCCCCACACACCACTTCTGGCCCAATCTGAATGGTCTTGGTGATGGTACATGTTAATATAACTTCTGAGTACTTCTTTTAAATTCTTACTTTTTATTTTAAATTATGTTTATAATGTATTTTAAACATACAAAAAACATAGATAATAATATAATATTAATGCCTCCCCTACATTTAATAAGGATGATCGTTGTCTAATAACCTACCACATGAGAAAATTGCCAAGTGTTAATGTAGTATATAAACTATATAAGATTAAAAATTATCCAAAGCTATACTATATATTTCTCATGATACATATACTTAATAAGACATAACTATCCAATGAGGAGGATATTCAACTACTTCTGAAGGGTCATTACCTATTGGAAATTGGATGGGTGAAGTCAGAGTCTTCAAACATATCTGTGATGCTTTATTTTAAACAATCGTCTAAAGCAAATATGGAAAATGTTAACAAATGTCGACTCTTGGAAGTTTTCAGGATAAGGCCTTTGACAATTTGACTTTTTAAGTAGAAGCTGTTTTTTCTTAGAAATGTTTTTCCTTCCCCTCAGGCACATTTGTAATTAATAAAGGGGAATTACATGAAATGATCACTGGTAGATGTCCTTTGTAAACATATCTACTGTATGACTGTCACTTGAGTCAGAGAATGCGATAAAGGTAAGAAAGGGAAATGTGCTTCACATTGGGTCTCTCTGGGTTTTATTTTCATTGTCCGATGCTCTTCGGAAGGGCAATAGACGTAGAATTCATCTCTACCACCACCATCACCATAGCTGGCATTTATTGCAAGCCTTATAATGTGTTGGTCACTTGCCAAACACTTTACATGGGATATTAGTTAGGATACAATTTTGGTCACCATAACAGAAACCCGAAGTAACAGTGGCTTAAAGACGATATGATTTTATTTGTCACTCACATAACAGTCTGGACATATGCAATCCATGGCTGATATGATGGCTCCATAAAGGTCAAGGGTCCAACCTCCTTCTAGCTTCTTGCTTTGCTATTCCTACAATATTGTCTTTACACCTATAGTCTATGATGATTCTTGGCTCTCTCTCACTGGTTGTTGATGATTTTCCCTGGCCACAAGTGAACCACATGAGTACATCTGGCTGCAAAGGAAGCTGGGAAATGTAGTCTTTATCCTGCATAGTCATGTAAAACAGCTGGAAATATTGGGGGTTCTATCCCTATGGAATAAGAGGAGATGCACATTGGGGAAGCCATAGGAAGTCTGTGCCGCAGGTAGTTTCTCTTTAACCTTACAACAACACTAGGAGTCAAGCCCAGATTGGCTCATTGAACACTTGAAGAAGAGGGAATAGTTTCCTCACGGAAGGTCACACTGCTACTATTGGTGGAGCTGGGTGCGGCTGTAGTTTTTTTCTTTATATGTTTGCATCTAGTTTGCCAAGAAGTTCTAAGACTAGGAACCGAGAATTCTTAGCTTCCTTGGGACTGCCACGCCTTGCCAGTGTTTGTTTGCTTGATTTCATCACACCATTTAAAACAATCATCCAGGAAGGAGTGTGTGCCCCGTACTTTAGAGTTGAAAGCAAGCACACATTTAATTTTGTCCAAGGAATTTTGTGACATTTATTGAGTACATTTGGGTGTTGCCCAATCAAAACCGGGAACATATACCAGGGAAATGTTATTCTTTAATTTGATTCAAGTCGTACCTGGATTCTGGTTAGGCTAGAAAATGCACCTCTAATATCTTTCTAATAAGAAGGAAATGCTTTAGTAAAATACATGTTCTGACATTTTTTTCTGTGTGTGCGAGTGTTAAGACTATGGACTATCTTCTAAACATTAGATAAAAAGTAGCAAATTTTTCAGAAATGATTTTATTTGAAGGAGAAACAAGGAGCACTGAAACCATATGTTGCTTTTTCACAAAATCATCCAACCAGCAGCATCTTTCGTGCAACAAAATTTGGCAGGTGACCCCTTTCTTTCACCCAGATCACAATTTCCAAGAGCTGGCATGTGCCAAAAACAAAATTTCAAATGGGAAACCTGGCTCCTGAAAGTTCACATCTGATATTGTTCAAGCTCATGCTGGACCAGAAGGAAATACCCTAGGTAAGGCATGCAATCTCTTCAGTTGTAGATCTCTTCCTTTGGAAATGTTAAAAGGTGAAATCTTTGCGTGGTTCAGGACCAGCGTCAGGATTACGGTGAGAGAAGCGTGGCATTCACTTCTGGCAACAAAATTCACTCCTGGCAGGTGTCAAAAAATGTAGTAATCAAGATAAATAATATTTTAATATGTTTTAAAAGTAAAAACAAATAAAAAATTCATGATGAATTAATATCAAAATTTTAAATGAACACAGGCTGTTTGGGTTATCACAGTGCATGGCTGTGTGATGGGAACAGCCATTTCCAATCGGCCCCACGTTCCTGCTCCCAAAGTCTTCAAATCCCACCAGGCAGGTTTACGAAGGTTGACAATGTATGATAACAGATGAGGCAATGAATATGGGGGTATATATACGGTCATAATTTTTTATTATAGAGCTTTTAATAATTTTTGTCACTTTGTTCAAAATATTTTGGAGGATATAGGAGTGTACATTTTCCGTTTGTCTCAGGCTCCAATATGACCACAGTGTACTCTTCAGGACTTCTGGGAACCCAGCTTTTCATGCTAAGTGAGCTGTTGCTACAGGAACCCTAAAGTCTTTAGAGACCTAATGGTTCCTTCTCTGAGAAGGAACCATTTGGCTAAACACACGACTGCTGTCCCTTTAATCATCATGCCTCTTAGCCTTTTACATTTACACTGGATGGAAGTCTCTGCTTAGTTTATCTGTCTAAATATGCATCAATACCATCTAACCTACACTGGAAATCCCCTGATTCCTATCTCCCCCATTCTTCTCTAAATTGGGTTCCTCTTTTTTCTCTCCTGTTTTAATCCTGATTCCCATTTGTAATTGTGTGTGTGTGTGTGTGTGTGTGTGTGTGTATGTGTGTGTGTGTGTGTATGTGTGTGTGTGTGTTTATTTCACATCTGTCTCTCCTGCTACATTGCAGGCTCCATGAGGACAGGGAGCATATTTGGCTAATTACTCAGCCCTCAAGACCTAGCATAGTGTATATGTATTGTAGGGATTCATACAGACTTTTATTTTTAATGTTTATTTATTTATTTTGAGAGAGAGAGAGGATGAATATCGGGAAGGGGCAGAGAGAAAGGGAGAGAGATAATCCCAAACAGACTCCATACTCTCAGTACAGAGCCCAAAGCAGGGCTTGAACTCACGAACTGTGAGATCATGGCCTGAGCCGAAATCAAGGGTCAGATGCTTAATTGACTGAGCCACTCAGGTACCTCTCACACAGACTTCTTAAGAGATAAATGAATTTGTGAGTGGTTGATCTGCCTTGCCCAATGCTAAGTAAAGCTTCAGGTACTTAGTAAATGTTATTGGTAATAATGCTACAGGATATTATTTTTTAAATTTTTATAAATTTTTTATTCAGAAATTTTTTTTTAATGTTTTATTTATTTCTGAGAGAGAGAGAAAGACAGAGTGAGCAGAGGAGGGTCAGAGAGAGAGGGAGATACAGACTCTGAAATAGGCTCCAGGCTCTGAGCTAGCTGTCAGCACAGAGCCCGACATGGGGCTCGAACCCATGAATCATGAGATCCTGACCTGAGCCAAAGTTGGA